AGATTTCAGTTACTTTATTTTTCAGTTAGAAAATTTCCATTTGGGCTGGCCGGGTGCGGCAGCTCACACCTGTAATCCTAGCACTCTGGGAGACGCCAAGGCGGGTGGATTGCTCCAGGTCAGGAGTTCGGAACCAGCCTGACCAAGAGTGAGACCCCGTCTCTACTAAAAACAGAAAGAAATTAACTGCAATAATAATATATAGAAAAATTAGCTGGGCATGTGGTGCATGCCTGTAGTCCCAGCTACTTGGGAGGCTGAGGCAGCAGGATTGCTTGAGCCCAGGAGTTTGAGGTTGCTGTGAGCGAGGCCGATGCCACGGCACTCAGTCTAGCCTGGGCAACAAAGCGAGACTCTGTCTCAAAAAAAAAAAAAGAAAAAAGAAAATTTCCATTTGGTTCTTCTTTATATCTTCTATTTCTTTGCTAAGACTTTCTGTTTTTTCATTTGCTTCAAGTATGTTCATTGTAATTGCTTGCTGAAGCAATTTTATGATAGCTGTTTTAAAAATCTTTATGAGAGCTGGGCACAGTGGCTCATACCTGTACTACCAGCTACTTGGGAGGCTGAGGTGGGAGGACCACTTGAGCCCAGGTCAAGTGCTCAAACAATGAGATCCCATCTCGAAAAAAAATAGATAAATAGAAAAAAAAATCCTGATCAGGTAATTCAGTGCCATCTAGGTATTGATTGTCTTTTCTCATTCAGGGTGAGATTTTCCTGGTTCTTGGTATTTTCAATTGAATCCTGGACATTTGGGGTAATTTGTTATGAGACTATAATTCTTATTTAAATCTTCTGTTCTAGCAAGATTTCCTCACCTCTGACACAGCATTGGTGGGAAAAAGGGAGTGCCACCTTGGTACTGCCAGATGGAAGCAGGATTCTAGATACCTTCAAGGCCTCTGATGATAAGCGGTGGTGGTGCACTGCTGCTGCACGCGCAGTTCTGGCTTCCCACTGTCCTCCACTGCCATCTCCCTGACTGGGAGGGAGAGGAGTGCCTTGTTACTGCTCCCCACATGGCCTCCACTGACACTGTGGCGGTGACCTTGTTACCACTGGGTGTCAACGACAGTCTGGATTCCCAACTAGGCCTCTTCTCTGACACCACCCATGTGGGAAGCCAGAAGGATGCCTACTTGATCTTATCCTTGCCAGTACTTGGTATTGTCGGTTTTATTTTTTTTATTTAATTAATTAATTAATTTTTTTTTTTTTGAGAGAAGAGTCTCACTTTGTTGCCCGGGCTAGAGTGCTGTGGCATCAGCCTAGCTCACAGCAACCTCCAACTCCTGAGCTAAAGCAATCCTTCTGCCTTAGCCTCCCGAGTAGCTGGGACTACAGGCATGCACTACCATGCCGAGATGATTTTTTCTATATAATTTTAGTTTGCCAATTAATTTCTTTCAATTTATAGTAGAGACAAGGTCTCGCTCTTGCTCAGGCTGGTTTCAAAATCCTGACCTTGAGCGATCCACCCGCCTTGGCCTCCCAGAGTGCTAGGATTGCAGGTGTGAGACACCGCGTCCAGGCTGGTTTTATTTTTTTATTAAAGCATACTTATAGGTGTTAGTGGTATCTCATTGTGGTTTTAATGTGCATTTCCCCATTGACTAGTGATGTTGAAGTTGAGCATCTTTTCATGTGCTTATTGTCATTATCCCTAAGTCTCACCTGATGAAATATCTTTTCAAATCCTTCATTCATTTATTGTTTCCCTATTGGTTAGTTATGAGAGTTCTTTACATATTCTGCTTAGAAGTCCTTTGTCAGAAACAGTTTTCTTTTTACTCAACTTCAACTACCAATAATTGGCCAAAGTTTAAGACCTATTAAATCAAGGCCTGGTAAGCAACTCTATTATACTTGAGTATTTTTCATTTTTCAGGTGGTAAAATAAAATATATTTTTCACCTATTAATATTCATGATATCTGAGGAATTTTTGAAGAAAGTACTAATTATTGTGAAGTTGAAAGTATTATATTAAAACAAAATATTCATTGAATCTCTAGTCTGCCTGCTCCTTATTTATTTATTTATTTTTTTTGAGACAGAGTTTCGGTTTGTTGCCCAGGCTAGACTGAGTGCCATGGCATCAGCCTAGCTCACAGCAACCTCAAACTCCTGGACTCAAGCAATCCTGCTGCCTCAGCCTCCCGAGTAGCTGGGACTACAGGCATGCACCACCATGCCCGGCTAATTTTTTCTATATATATTAGTTGGCCAATTAATTTCTTTCTATTTATAGTAGAGACAGGGTCTCACTCTTGCTCAGGCTGGTTCCGAACTCCTGATCGCCCGCCTCGGCCTCCCAGAGTGCTAGGATTATAGGCGTGAGCCACTGCGCCCAGCCCTGCCTGCTCCTTAACCCAGAGAAATCTAGTAATTACAAATTCACTTTAGAGTTTTAATATGATTAAAGAAGGGAGAAAAAAATACTATGAAGCAAAAATCATATTAAGTCTATATGTCAAACAGAGCATGCAGGTAACAACCAGATGAATGGTCAGAGGACTATACCTGGATCACTCTTGCGTGCTCCTGAACTTGTGGTCGGCCCTTCACATGGATGTGAAATCTGTCCTGGTGGATCTATCTTCTGCTGCTGCTGCTGCTGCTGCTGCTGCTGCTGCTGCTGCTGCTGCTGCTGCCTGAAACATTCAAAAGTGAATGTATGTTAAAAAAACAAAACTTAAAAATAATGATACCATGAGAAAAAATATTCATATGGAAAATAAATTGTTCCATAAATCAAAATAGTCACTGGCATGAATATGACAAAAGACTGCAAGAGCAATTAGTCTGATATATATTATTAATACTTAAAGGTATAGAAGTGCTGGCCGGGAGCAGTGGCTCACGCCTGTAACCTAGCACTCTGGAGGCCGAGGCGGGCGGATCGCTCGAGCTCAGGAGTTCTAAACCACCCTAAGAGCGAGACCCCATCTCTACTATAAATAAAAAGAAATTAATTGGCCAACTAATATATATAGAAAAAATTAGCTGGGCATGGTGGTGTATGCCTGTAGTCACAGCTACTCGGGAGGCTGAGGCAGGAGGATCACTGAAACCCAGGTGTTTGAGGTTGCTGTGAGCTAGGCTGACGCCACGGCACTAACTCTAGCCTGGGCAACAAAGCGAGACTCTGTCTCAAAGGAAAAAAAAAAAGGTATAGAAGTGCTGATCTTAGGAAACCTAGATATAAAATTAGACAAATTAAGAGGTAGGTATTTTCACCACAAAATAACCTATTATATAAAAGCATTTACTGGTCACTATTCTTATGCAAATGAATGTTGGTTTATAGATCCTTAATATTGTTAGGTGCCACGGAAAATAAGCACTTTGAGAAGACAGAGCATCTCAAATTACCATGTCAGTTAACATGATCTCTGCATGGCTGGCTCCTTGTCATTCAGGTCTGAGCTTAAATATCACCCAGAGATGCCTTTCCTGACTGACTACCCACCTGACATAGCCACCTGGTATTCTCACTATCTCATCACTTCAATTTATTCTCAGCATAAACTTATCATCATCTGCTATTCTTCTGTTTGTCTTCCTCTTCAGAATGTAAGCTAAAAGAGCACAAACCTTATCTTGTTTATCTGTTTCTGCAGAGCCTAAAACTATGCCTGTCACATAGTAGGCATTCACCAAATACTTGACGAATGAAAGAAATGAAAACTACTATTTAACACAAATCATTAGGTTTTCAATAATATGTATTACATTAAGCTCCCCTGTATGTCTTTTTCAAAAGGAAAAATAATGTCATAAATATCCACATTCTGAAACATTTAAACATGATGGTTAATGATGTAAATATGTAGGAACACATCCTTATACTTGGAAAATATACACTGTAGTGAGACATAAGAGAAAATCATGTCTGTAAGTTATTCTCAAATGGTTCACCATTCCCACTGTGCCTTCTAACGTGCCTTCGGTATTATAGCTAAAAACTACATGTCTTAGATTCCTTTACGAGTAGGATTTAGTTACATCTCATTTAGTTAAATCTCACATGAGATTTAAAAGGTTCAGAAATATCAGCAATAGGAGAATCTGGGTGAAGGGTATAAGAAGCTTTGTGTACTATTTCTTATTTCTGCTTTTCTATAAATTTGAAATTACAGATTGAGCATCACATGTCCAAAAAGCTGAAATCCAAATGCTCTAAAATCTGAAACTTTTGAGCACTGACATGATGTTCAAAGGAAATGCTCATTGGGGCACTTCAGATTTTGTGTTGTCGGATTTGGGATGCACAACAAGTATAATGCAAATATTCCAAAATCCTATTAAAAAATCCAAAATCTAAAAACACTTCCGGTCCCAAGCATTTCAAATGAGGGATGCTCAACCTGTATTTCATATATATAAACAAACACAGAAAGCTGAAAAACAAAACTTATAAACAGCTAACAATCTGAGTGAGAAGCCATAGCTTTAAAAAAGTATATAAGGATTTTTAAAGGAACCAGAATTTTAAAACTACCAGCAAGTGTATTAATAGAATGGTATATTTTTTCTAGAGTCCTTCTCAATCTTGTGTTTTAAAAATGTGAGCAACAAAAAAAAATTCAATCATTGAAAACTGCAATTTCTCCCTATCGATCTTTGAGCCAGAATACTGACATCTATAAAGGTGTGTGACTCGCTAGTGTGCACGGCTAATGCTTCCACTATCATACCCTGTTGTCTGGAAAGTGGCACAAGAAAGACTGACTGAGTTATGTGGAATTCCTGGCACATCAGGTATCAACCACGTCCTCTTCCCTTCCACTCAAGGAAGTATGTCAGAATACAAGGGAGTGATGAGTGAGACAGAAACTTGAGAAGGATAACGTTTATTCTACTTTTAATTTATGAAAAATGATAAGTAAATCAATTGCCAACCTTGAAACAATTTTGACACCTTCCAGCTGTGATGACACTGAGCTGGAACATGTTCAAATAGCACTCAGCATCCATTCCCACTGTGCCTTCTAATATATATTAGAAGTATTACAGTATTACAGAGGGTGGGAAGCTAAAAACTACGTGTCTTACATTCCTTTAGAAGTAGGATTCTGGTTACAAATTAAGTACTTGTGTGAGACTTAAAATGCAGAAATGAGGCATAGCCACTTTCCTGAGACTTTGGTTGTTGTGTTGGCAAGCAAAGTCATGAAGTTACCAGTCCCAGAATTCTGCTTCATTGCTATTGTTGTGGGGGACTTTATGTTCCCATGTCTAGGCAACTGTGGAGGCAGCTTCCTAATCCTAGGATCACAGCTAGGGTAATGTGTTCTTAAACTCAATATCCTCATTCCCCATTGTTGCAACCTGGGTAGTGACTGCAGCTCTTCCTATAAGTTGGTTTGTGGTATTCTGGAGGCCTGGCCTAGAGCTCTACCTCCAGCTTTTACTAAGATTGTGTAAGCCCCTAAATTCTGTATTAAATACTTTTCTCTTTAAAATACCTCTAGCAGTTTCTATTTATTAAACTGAACCCTGTCTGATAAACTATGTCATACCACTGAAGTGGTGGCTCAAGTATTAGGTAATCAAAACATCACAGCAATCCATGGCCATGAAAATATGTGTCCCTCCTTGTTGGGAAACACTGTGCTTTTCTTAACAGAAAGAATATGCATCATTTCAAAGCTATACCCAGAGAAGGAAATAATGCTAACAAATATCTGTGGAATACTTTACAAAATCCTTTTATATATGTTGTCTAATTTGATACTCATAACATGTGAGTTGAGGCAGGTTTTACATTGACATAGTTGATGTAGTAGAGTTCTGCTTGAGATTTTATGAAGGTAAAACGGATTTCAAGATTACTACTGGGAAAATGGCATGGCTATGAAAATATTACTTAACAACTCTTATAAACTATGAATTTGTAATAGGTAAATTTTTAATAGTATTTTTTGCACCAGAGAGAAACCCTATAGTGTTTTTTATGCATGAATCCTACGGTTACTACATTAAGTATGAAGCTCTAAGTAACAAAAATGGGGAATTAAAAAAACTATAAAATTGTATGAATAACAAATTAGCACCAGAGGCAGTTTAGGGAGAGCAAGAGGAAAGATAGAGTGAGCTTGATAACCTTAAAGCCAAGACAGAAGCTAGAAACACAAGGACTCATCCAGGCTAAGTAATCAGGGATTTGAGTGAAAGGCAAATATTAGTTTCTCAGCTCTTCTACTAATGAGTTCTATAACTGAATGCTAGTGATTGTTAAAAGTAAACACCTAGAACTTAGCTCTTAACTCTTCTCAGCATCATGTGACTATGTAAAATATTTTCCAGCTCTCTCCAAGTTCACAGCAGTATTTTCAGGGTCAAGCCAGAAGACTGAAGCTGATAACCATCACTGCACACATCCCCTCCCCAGTCAATTACCCTCCAATTAGGAATGAGGTATATTGATACTAGAACATTTTTAAAAGTGTACTGGTTGACTGAAACCTCTGTTTACTATAAAGCACTAGTTATTGCTGATATTGTGCTTGGTATAACTTAATCATTATGGAATGTTACTAAATTATCTTTAATACTATAAAAAGTTCAATTTATTGGAAGTTTTATATTTCTAACCCAAAAATTACAAAAAAAATTTTTTGTAAAAAAAACATCTTTTTGTAAACATGTTTTTTCCTTTTCTTAAATGTGCTTGGGAATTTTGTAGTTTCTCTAAGTAGCATGTCTGTTTGGACCATTTTATTCAGCCCACCCCCCAAAAGAGTCTGAAATAAGCATGGTAGAACTATTACTTGGGACCTATTCTGGAAAGCAATTAAAAAATCTTTATCAAGGCCTTAAAAATATTCACATCCGGCAGTGCATGGTGGCTCAAGCCTGTAATCCTAGCACTCTGGGAGGCCAATCATTTGAGCTCAAGAGTTTGAGACCAGCCTGAGCAAGAGCAAGACCCCATCTCTACTAAAAAAATAGAAAATTAGCTGGACAACTAAAAATATATATTTAAAAAATTAGCCAGGAATGGTGGCACATGCCCGTAGTCCCAGCTACTCAGGAGGTTGAGGCAGTAGGATTGCTTGAGCCCAGGAGTTCAAGGTTGCTGTGAGTTATGGTGACACCATGGTACTCTAGCCCGGGCAACAGAGTTGAGACTCTGTCTCAAAAAAAAAATGTTCATATCCTTTAACCCAATAATCTGACATCCTCAGAATAATTAGAAAAACAATGAGAGATTCAAGGAATAGACTCAGTATAAGAGATGTTTGTTGTAATATTAATTATAATAGCAAAACCCAAAAAGGTTCATATATAAATTAGGCACATCCATTTCTTTTATGAAATATTATGCAGCCTGTTACAAACACTATTTACTATCAGGGGAAAATCGGTATAACACTTACAATATAAGTGTGCCTGTGTGACAGGGAAAGAATGTGCCAAAATACTAACATCAGTTATTGAAGAATAGCGGGAGTATGCTTTAATTGTGATATTTCTTAAAATAACTTTTCTAGAATATTAGTTTTATTTAGTTAAGTAGGTTTAAGTTATTTTTAATATTAGATAATCCAGAATTATCATTAATAATTATCATGTGATTATTATTGTGTGATGGTAGCATTTGGCTATGTTAAAAAAAAGTCTATATATTTTTAGAGACACATGAAGTTTGCAGGTGGGAGAATGGAAAATGGGAACATAAAAAAATGATATTGGCAAGATGCTGATACTTGTTAAATCTGGGTTATACACAAATAGGAGTTAATTATGCTAGTTTTTCTACTTCTGTATAAATTTGAAGTTTATCATAACTGAAAAATAAAAGTTAATTTTAAAATTTAAAAGAAAGTGAAAAGCACTAGTAAACACTACTTTGAAATTCTAAATATAATTAAATCTATTAATCTATCACTGAATAAAGACTAGAAATATCTCACATTAAAAGGATGTCAGCTGATCAGAACTTTCCTTCATATACTTCTGAGTTGTGACTTAAAAAAAAACAGAAAAAAAGGTAAATATTATCTTCATTATACCATCAAATGTAAAATGCTCCAATATTTTAGATACTGCTAAAATACTGTCAATTATGATTGTAAGATGCTTCTCAATTTCAGAGATGTTGTAATGTGAAAATATGTGTACCTTAGAATTGATGAAATACAGCAAATAATAGGCCACATTCAGCCACCAGCCTTTTTTTTTTTGACCTGGGATCAGAGGATCTGATTATCTATTATAGATCTCGTAATCTGGAGATCTCGTAAGACGGAGTTTTATTTTTCTTTAAAAAAAGAAAAAAAGAAGATGACTTGTGAATGATAGTTATCAGAGAGATATTTTCATATGGTAAAATTTCTATTTAGTGAACACTTATAAAGCTAGGCATAAGGTAAGGTTTTAGGAGCTGATTCAGACTTACTGTTTGCCTCCATGCCCCTGATACTGAAGGGCCTGTAGGACCCCCTAAAGTGGCAACAAAAAGGACAATGAACTACCACCTCTATTTTGGAGTGTGCTCCCCTACCTCAAAATTTTTCCTATTGATTGATAAGAAGAGTTTTGAAGAGTTAGGTAACCAAGAAGCACATTCAAAGGATCAATAGGTATTGTTCCTGCCTTGCCTAATTCCATTTTCTTTTTAATAAATGAAATTTTACAAGGTTTCCTTCACCCTATTTCATGTAAATTTATCCAGTATTGGGGCAAAGTTTTTCCCTAAAACTATATTTTATTTCAGACATTATTTGCTATAAATTTTAAAAAATACATTCAAATGCTCACAGGTTTCAGGCAGTAACTAGTCATTTACAAACAGACAAAATAGCCAAAGCAAATATTAAATATGCAATTTTAATGTGTACCAACTACTTTACTTTTCAAAGTAGGCTTCTCTTCTCTTCCGCAGCTCTTCTGAAGTAAGAGTTGTACCTGATGTCTGTGGAGTATCTTGAGATATATTTCTGGAACTACCTAAAAACAAAACAAAAGAAAACAAAAAACAATCACTTTATTGCCACCTGTTTGCTATGACATAGATATTTAAATTTCTTAATGCTTTATAGTTTGTGTGTTTATATTAATAAAGCATTACTTTAATTGATTAAAAAAACAATCACTTTATTTACCAATTTAAGTAACAATAAGTTTATACTAATTTGAGCAAGTATTTCTAGTTTTCTTCTTTAAAATATTCTTGCTCCTATTCTATAAATATAAGAAAGGCTCTGAAAGTCTCAGGGGAAATCTGATTAAGGCAGTCCAAATCAAATGTATGTCCACTGCAACCAATGCTGTTACCCATCTGTGATACAGAAGATGTGAGAATATAAGTCAAACCACCAACATGGTAAGAGAAGTCATTAACACCACACTTGTGTGCTCTCTTTAAATTATTAGAAATGAATCTACACCTTCAAAGGCAGAGTAGTCCTCAAAGCAACATAAAGTGGATAATCATAAAACAAACCCATCCTCTGGTCTCCTCTATCCTCAAACATTTGCGTACAACAACTTATTTGTTTCAATGTTCTCACTTGATAATTGTTCCAAACAGAGATTCTGCACAAATTGTAAAATAAAGTGGTAGGAAGAATGAATTATATAAAAATGTCTAAAATTATAAAATCTGGTTTCTGGTCATTACTGGGCAAGTCTAGCAGGGCTCAATTAACCAAAAATGGGATTGCACACCATATGGAGTACTCAAAGGTGAGTTCAGAAGCAAGAAAACTTCAGGATAAAAATAATCTTCATATTAATAGAAGCTCAATTTTATTTAGATATTTAAGGAATTCAATTGATGAACAATTTCATTAGAAAGTAGAAGCAAATTCATATGAATTAGATAAAAAACAAGCTATAGGTATGAACACGGTAGCTCATGCCTGTATTCCTAACAGTTTGGGAAGTTGAAGCAAGAGGATCACTTGAGGCCAGGAATTCAAGACGAGCCTAAGCAAGATAGAGACCCTGTCTGTACAAAAAATAGAAAAAAAATTAGCCAGGCATAGTAGTGAGAGCCACTTGGGAGGCTGAGGCAGGAGGATCGCTTGAGCCCAGGAGTTTGAGGTTGCAGTGAGCTATGACGCCAATGCACTCTAGCCTGGGAGAGAGAGCAAGACCCTGTCTCAAAAAACAACATAAGCCGGGCGTGGTGGCTCACGCCTGTAATCCTAGCACTTTGGGAGGCCGAGGAGGGCGGATTGCTCAAGGTCAGGAGTTCGAAACCAGCCTGAGCGAGACCCCGTCTTGACCAACTAAAAATATATATACAAAAAATTAGCCGGGCATGGTGGCACATGCCTGTAGTCCCAGCTACTCGGGAGGCTGAGGCAGTAGGATCGCTGAGCCCCGGAGATTGAGGTTGCTGTGAGCCAGGCTGATGCCACAGCACTCACTCTAGCCTGGGCAACAAAGTGAGACTCTGTCTCAAAAAAAAAAAAAAAAAAAAACAACAACATAAAACCCCACTTTGTACTTAAATAAGCCACTTTGAGCTATTTCTCAACATTTCTGACTCCTTAGATGGGCTTATATCACTAAAATAGTGGGCCTACCAAAGTGCATTTAAGCTTTAAGCTGCATCGCCATAAGTGTTAGATCTTTGTAAAATCAAGTCCGGGGCCTTGTGTCATGTCTAATGGCATATATTTATGAAAAAGCTAGTTTGGGTAAGGGTCAACTGACACTCATGAAGATTAACCTCCATTTACTATTATGTTAGTACAGTATTATAACCAAATAAAATAACCAGAAGTAAAAATATAACTAGTCCTAATATAATATAGGTTATAAAAAGTGATTGCCATTACAGGAAAGTAATTGTCAAAAAATGGTACTAACTTTCAGGACAACTAAGAACAATCTGAATCAATTTTTCAACAATGAATAAAATGCACATCAAAATCTCTATACCTTGCATACTTAGCTGAATAGCTCTGCGGAGATCTGCTTCTTCATCTTCCATGTCAATTTCTTGGCGACTTAGTGCCAGAGCCCTCTGCAAATCCTCCTCATCTTCATCTAACATTCCTGAGCCATCATTTGTCTCTAAGACTCGTTCCAGGTCTGTTTTATGGACCCTAAAAAACAAAAGCACTGATAATAACTGCAAAGCAGTGTTCTTGTTTACACATAATATAAAGATATTTCTTATCTAAAGATTTTACATAAGTCAAAACTTAAGCATTTTCTGGCAGATAAGGTTTAGTAATATAAAGATTATGTTGTAATTTGAATCTAAGTTAATATATTTAAGTAATTCAAAGAGTTGATTCAAGTTTGAACCCATAAACTTCACTGAAATATAAGCATCACCAACAAAAGGACCATATATTGCAAAGTATGCATGAAAATTTAATTATTATAATGTAATACTATCATATATTCTATACTACAGGCTTAATTTTTACCTTTGTTCTTTTAGTTGTGCTAATTCTTCTCCAATAAGTTTTGGTCGATGCATCTGTTGGACCCTGATCATCTGCAGTAGTTGGTCAGCTTCACAATCTGGCAGATCACCCTTAACAACAAATATAGAATAACCTAAAAAAAAACCCAAAAGGCAAAATTTAACTAAAACAGCTAGTAAGAGATTCAAAATTGATTTAAAATGATAACAGAGGAAGCACAGTGTAATGGAAAAAAACATAAGCTGAAGATTCAAAAAGACCTGGATTCAAATAATGCTTCTTATACTGACTGGCAGGGTAACCTAGTAAAAGTTACTTAAAATCTCTGAGCCTCACTCTCTCCCACCTGTAAGACTGGAATAGCTGTCTCATAGAGTGACTATGAGAAATAAAATAATGTCTGTAAATGGCCCTACTAATACAGTGCTTGACAAAGTAGGCTAGTCACCAAAGGGTATCAGAGAGACAGGTAAAGGAGTAAGTAAAAGCAAGGGATTTGGAATCAGACTGCCTGGGTTTATTTACTTATTTTTTAGAGACAGGGTCTCCTATGTTGCCCAGGGTGGAGCCACTGCAGTCTAGAACCCCAGGGCTCAAGTGATCTTCCTGCCTCAGTCTCCTAAGTAGCTGGGACTACAGGTATAGGCCACCACACTCTGCGACTGCCTGGATTTAATCCTAGCTCTTCCACTTCCTAGCTGCATGGTTTCTGTAATCACTTAACCCATCTGTCTTAGTTTCTTCAAGTGTTAAACAAATGATACTGGTATCTTCCTCAGACATTGCTGTGAGGACACAATCAGATAATGTGCCCAGTGACAGGTAACCCAGGTATAATGAGTCATTTGTAGAAATGGAAAAAACAGAGCATGATGGCATTGAACCCAAGGGAGACAGTGTTTCAAGAAGGGAGGATACAGTTAGGAACCAAAGTTTTAGTTATGAAAGAAAAGAGATACAAATATATAAAATGAAAGAAGTTGGCCAGGTGTGGTGGCTTATGCCTGTAATCCTGGCACCTTGGGAAGTAGAGGCAGGAGGATCACTTGAGACCAGGAGTTCAAGACCAGCCTGGGCAACATAGTGAGACTCCGTCTCTACAAAAAAATGTTTAAAAAAATCAAATAAGTTAAATAAAAACACTATAATCCTAAATGTGGATTAAAAATAACTACGTGATGACAAACCCAGTAGCAATAAGTATGCCAATGCTCAGACTGTGATCTCTTAATATCGTTAATCACAGGAACCAGGTATCCTTGGAGAAATGAGAGTTCAAATACAGGGCAGAAAATATACAAGATAAGCTTGCAACATCTTGTTAAATGAGAAAGCAAGCCTTCAAAAGACTACAGTGGTCATATCAGAGATTTGGGGATAAACGTCAAAAGATTCTCACTGGTCTAAGATGAATAAATTTAAGTGTAAATATGAATAATAATTACAATGGACTAAAACAAATGAACTACATTTTTAAGTTTAGTTTAGTTTAACAAAAACAAGAAAGTAATTGGTCACCTTTGAAGAACATTATGAAACCAATTTGTTTTAACAACTGATAAAGGGAAAGGAATATTTATCCTGCTTTTCCTATATGGAACTATACTTCAGGAAAACCAAATAATTGATGAAGAGAAGTTTATTTGTATAGTATTCCAGCTACTAAATGAAGGAATGGTAGGAATCTAATAACATTTTGCAAGTTTTAATGAAATAAAGAATATAGACACTGATCATCAATAGCTACTAACATCACAAAGAGACAAGCAGACATCAAGTGCCATGTGATCTATGAAGAGTCTTCTACCCTTCTCCAAAACCCAGCATGAGTGCCAGAGTCCAAGCTGTCACCTTCTCTTTTAATACTGGAAAAATAATGACAGGTTCTGAGGCAGCCTGATACTGATTTTGATATACAATTTTATTCTGTGCAAGTTAAACCAGACAGCTAACAGAGTGCAAGGCACTTTCCTCTTTCTGCTTTTGGTAGTAAGTAGATAGCAAATTTCATGCTACTGCTCAGTTCAACACTATCATGTTCAAAAATTTTCTGCTACCCCCCAAAGCACCTGTTGCTGGAAATCTGTTTAAATGCCATTCTTCTTCTGTACAACTGCTACTCGTTTTTGATCTACACTAAAAGACAGAAGACCCTGTGTACTAAGCAGTCTCTTTTCTGTCATGAAAATTTGCATGGTTTGCCTACACAAGAATTTCTTTTTTATTTATTTTCTTGAGACAAGGTCTTGCTCTGATGCTCGGGCAAGAGTGCAGTGGTGTCATCATAGCTCAGTGTAAACTCAAACTCCTAGGCTCAAGCAATCCTCCTGCCTCAGCCTCTCAGGTAGCTGGGACTACAGATACATGCCACTACACCTGGCTATTTTTTTAATTTTTTGTAGAAACAGGGTCTCACCATTGCCCAGGCTGGTCTAGAACTCTTAGCCTCAACTGATTCTCTTGGCCTGGCCTCCTAAAGTGCTATGATTACTGGCGTGAGCCACTGCACCCAGCCACACAGGAATGTCTAAATCTCTCAGGCAGCAGTGGCGGTATCAATTCACCTATTTTTCATAGGCTCAAAACACAAGTAGATATTTAAGCAAGTTGATAGATTTGCTGGTAGAAAGATAAGGAAGTTCTCTTTTAATTGAGTCAATGTTCTTAGTAAAATATAAAGGAAGGCCATAAGCAAGGTGTAAGGATGGGAAAGGGGAGTGGTTAGAGGTTTGCAGAGATAAGCTATGAGATAATCATCTTGCAGACTAGTGCATGGATTTACTGAGATAACATAGTGGGAATGAACGTTAGGCAGCACCAAGGGCTCCATTGATATTTTTGATTGTAAATTTAAAGTAAACCAATCATCATGTTTTGTGGTATCCTTTAGTCATGTTCACCTGTGCCGGTATAGGAATGGACAAAGCCAAGCTTTGGTTTTAGCCAGGACTGAGATTCTTGTGATTAAAGTATGGTAGAGGGAACAAGGGGAAAAGAAGTTGAGAAATGCAACAGAGTGATTATAATGATGGATGATAAAAAAACAAGCAGGGTAAGAAAGGAAGTATGGATATAAAGGGAGTGTTTGGGCCCTCTAGTAGGGTTTAAAAATTTGTTGGACCCAGACGCGGGTGGTGTGCGCCTTTAGTTCTAGTTATTCGGAAGACTGAGGCAGGAGGATTGCTTAAACCCAGGAGACCAGCCTGGGCAACATAGTGAGACTTTGTTTAAAAAAAGGCCGGGCGTGGTGGCTCACGCCTGTAATCCTAGCACTCTGGGAGGCTGAGGCAGGTGGATTGCTCGAGCTCAGGAGTTCAGAACCAGCCTGAGCAAGAGTGAGACCCTGTCTCTACTAAAAATAGAAAGAAATTAATTGACCAACTAAAAAAACATATGCAAAAAATTAGCCGGGCATGGTGGCACATGCCTGTAGTCCCAGCTACTTGGGAGGCTGAGGCAGTAGGATCGCTTGAGCCGAGGAGATTGAGGTTGCTGTGAGCTAGGCTGATGCCACGGCACTCACTGTAGCCTGCACAAAAAGTGAGACTCTGTCTCCAAAAAAAAAAAGGAACTGTGGGAATAAAGAAAAGAAAAACATAAAAAACATGGTAAAAAGATGGGAGGTGGTAGTCAAAGAGTAGTATGCTTGCAATTGAGATTGGAAGGTGGTTATGGTTATTGGCAATGGCTAGGAAAGTAAAGCTTTTAAAGTAAGAAACAAGGTATTGGATTGGTTGGATTGACTGAAGCAGAGAAAAAGACAGTGAGTCAGATCCTAAAATCTTCAATGGAAAAAGACAAAGCTCATGGATGACTGCAAAATGGCAGGGAGTAGTTTAATCTCCTATTTCCAAGGAGCTAGAGTTTATAAGGAAGGACAGGAGCTTAGAAGGGGTGAGGAAGAACAGGAAGAACATCTACCCCTCCTCTCAGCCCTGTGATGTGTGACGTATGGAAGAAAAAAGCCATTACTGAGAAGGGCTGCAAAGAAAGCAGGATCCTCAGAGGAGGGCCTGGTGTCAGTGAGAACTCTACAGCATCGCCCAAATCATAGCCTAAAGTTCACCAAGTCAAGCATAAAGATTATTTCATTCGCACTGCCAGAAAAATAGTATTGTTACACTCACATTTAATGAGCCAGTTTTACTTGGCTACTTCCAAAGATAACATTGCAAAATTTGCAGTCTTTATTTACCTTCCTGTTGTAATTGAGCCAAGAAAAGTGCAAGGTATGTATCTGATATTAATTCTGGACCCGTCAAGAGAGAATTCAAGTTAAACCACTGTAAAAAAAATTGTCAATATTTTAGTGTGTATTATAGAAAAGGACGTTTCACATGTTAAGAATAGATATATCCCATCTAAACTTAGTAAGATTGTCTAAACACTGGAAATATGCCAGGTTGAGCTTTTCTTTAAAGTAGCTGGATAACGTGATTTAAAAAACTGAAATTAAATGTTAGACTTATCTAACATTTAATATCTAAAGGCATCTATTAAATGTCTTTTTAAAAACAGAAGTTCGCTTTAAGCCATAAACGTCAAATCTCCCAAAAATAAAAACTAATAGTCAATATCTATAATTAAATATCTTTCATAGTCCAACATAACTCAAATAACATCTATCATATTGATAAGGAAGAAAAGGACAACTACATAAAGTTTTCCCACTAGTGATAATTTTGGTCAAAAACTCCAATTGTGAGAAAATCAGACATTCCAGGAAGAGAATTTATAATTATCAACTTATTTTTAAAAAGTCACTAAATCCACCATCACATAACATCTTTTATCACTACCTCACAGGAATCCTAATTTACCCCACAAGATACAAAAAGTTTCAAAAGTTACTGTCAATATTATGACCAACTACTTTTTGTGGATTTTGACATTGCAGATAATACTTTTTCCAGTCAACTCTTTTTTTTTTTTTTTTTTTTGAGACAGAGTCTCGCTTTGTTGTCCAGGCTAGAGTGAGTGCCGTGGCGTCAGCCTAGCTCACAGCAACCTCAAACTCCTGGGCTCGAGCGATCCTTCTGCCTCAGCCTCCCGAGTAGCTGGGACTACAGGCATGAGCCACCATGCCCGGCTAATTTTTTTTTTTATATATATATCAGTTGGCCAATTAATTTCTTTCTATTTATAGTAAAGACGGGGTCTTGCTCTTGCTCAGGCTGGTTTTGAACTCCTGACCTTGAGCAATCCGCCCGCCTCGGCCTCCCAAGAGCTAGGATTACAGGCATGGGCCACCGCGCCCGGCCAGACAACTCTTTTATTATACAGGGATCTCAGACAGAAAGAGTCTATAATGAAAAATATATTTTTAAACAAAAAATATAAATTAAAACCAAAGACAATAAACTGAAGTTTCACATCTGTATTTGTCAAAGATGAAGTAGTAAATAAGAAAACTCAATTTTGAAGAAAATTTTGAAAACCTCTTAAAATAATAAGCAAGACATTCCTTTGTAAATCAATACAAAGGAACGCCTGGAATCAAAGTCTTCAGACCTTATAAATGCAGTTCTTCCTTTACACAGAAAGTAAAGAATATTGGATCATAATTTCTTAAAGGTATAAATAAAACTCAGAGTTTAAATAATCTTGGCAGTGTCCTGCCCTGGTTTTACCCGAGGGCTGATTGCCACTTGGGTCAGTCTCTACCATAAGCCTTTACATCACACCTCTTCACTTGCTCTTAGCTCCTCAGGAAGAACTTTAAAACTGATCATTTAGGATGAAACTGTTTATAGGTGGCTGACTTAAAAGATAACAGCAGGGTTTTTGTTTTTGAATTATCTTTCATCGATTTAATTCAATGTACTCTTTCTTAGACTTCATTTTCTTTTTTGCCTTTTATTTATTTTTTAAAACAGCGTTATTGAGGTATAATTGATGTGCAATAACCTGAACTAATATTTAAAGTGTATACTTTGAAACGTTTTAACATTTGCTGTACACCTATAAAACCATCACTACACCAAGACAGTGAACACATTCATCACGGCCAGGTTTCCTATGCCCCTTTGTAGGCCTCCCCTGTCACACCGCTTCGCCCTCCTCATCTCCAAGCAATCACTGGTCAATCTCCTTTCTGTCATTATAGACTAGTTCAACGTTTTTTAGACTTTACTACAAATGGAACCAAAAGTATGTAGTATTTTGCATCTGGCTTCTTCTTTCGGCATAATTATTTTGAGATTCATCCATGGTGCTACCTGTACCAATAGTTCATTCCTTTTTATTGTATTAGTTTATTTTTAATAACCCTCTTCCAGACATTCAAAATTCTAATAAAAAGGACTTTAAATGACTGTTTCTTAAAAAAGCTTGCTCAGAACACATTCCATGTTTTTCTAAGAAGTTATTTTATGCAAATATATATATTACATGGCATTTTGGAATCATGTGAATAATCTTCCTACACAAAACCCAACATGGTTGAATGCTTTTATTCTTGCTTGATACTGTTTCAGGCTTTTTGACAGTATTATAATAAATGTTATTAGGTTATTAAGTACGGAATGTCCAATTTCCTTAAGTAGTAAGTTTGAGAGTTGATACCTCTGACATTTCACTTTCATACTTCCTTTCTTTATTATTGTGAAGACACATCCTCATTCTTTCAAATGCATGTTTTTGGCTTATGATTACCTTTCAAAAAAAATTTTTAGAGCAATTTTTGTGAAACCATGCATAAGTCAAAAATTTGGGTTATGGCCAGGTGTAGTGCCTCACGCCTGTAATCCTAGCACTCTGGGAGGCTAAGGCAAGAGGATTGCTTCAGGTCAGGAGTTCAAGACCAGCCTGAGCAAGAGTGAGACCCCATCTTCTCCACTAAAAATAGAAAAAATTAGCCGGGCAACTAAAAATAAAAACAAAAAATTAGCCAGGTGTTGTGGTTAGCGCTTGTAGTCCCAGCTACTCAGGAGGCTGAGGCAGAAGGACAGCTTGAGCCCAGGAGTTTGAGGTTGCTGTGAGCTTGGCTGATGCCATGGCATTCTAGCTAAGGCAACAACAAATTCATGTTATTTTTGAATATGAGTTCTGTTCTAGAACAAATGCAATGCAGATAGCTCGAAATATCAATGAAGTGCTTGGGAAGAATGTGGCTAATGAACGCATAGTATATTGATGGTTTTAAAAGTTCCACTCTGGTGATTTTAATCTTGCAAATGAGCCATGTAGGTGACCTGAGACCAAGGTGGATAATGATGAGCTGAAAGCTATAGTGGAAGCGCATCCTTGTCAACCTACAGGGGAATTAGCAGCAAGGTTTGATATTACTATTAATATCCCAACAATATTAGACCATTTGAAACAAATGGGCAAGGCAAAGAAGCTGGATAGATGGGTTCCACATGAATTAAACAAACATCAGAAGAGAAATCATCTCAAAGCTTGCCTTTCTTTGCTGTCACAACATAAAGGCAAACCATTTCTATACCATATTGTTACATGTGATGAAAAAAGGATTCTTTTTGACAATTGTAAGTGTTTGGCTCATGTGGTTGGATAAAGATGAAGTGCCAAAACACAGTCCCAAACTAAATATTCATCAAAAAAAGCTAATGGTGTCTGTTTGGTGGTACAGTGCTGGTATTATCTGCTACAGCTTCATGAAACCTGGTCAATCGATGACAGCGGATGTCTACTGCAACCAATTGGAGGAAATGATGAGGATGCTTGCGATTAAGCAGCCACGTTTGTTAAAGACAGGCCAATCCTCTTGCAAGACAATGTTTGACTACACGTCACACAATGTTTCTCAAACTATAGAAGCTGGACTTGGAAACTCTGTCATCCACCATATTCACCAGACCTTGCACCAGCTACAACTTCTTGCAGGCTTTGGTCCACTTCTTGCAAGGAAAAATATTCAATTTTCAACAAGCTGTGGAAAATGCCTTTGACAATTTCATCATCACTCATTCTCCAGGCTATTTTGCTGCTGACATAAGCAAGCTACTGTTAAGATGGCAAAAGAGTGTTGATAGCTCAGGCACATATTTTGATAAATTAAACTGTTTGAGATATAATAAACTAAACTTTCGAAGTGAAATCAGACATTTCATATTTAATGACCTAATAATAATAAACTGACAGAACATATTCATCACATGAAAACACATTTAAAAGTAACCATATATGCATAGTCTTAAACACAGAATTTTTCTTATGATACAGTTTAATTGTACATGGTTGTCACAAACAATCTATAAGAGAAACTGATATTATCTTTTAAAATAGCAAATTTTTATCTACCCAAATTGAAACCATGCCACACATACATTACTGGTCAGTTCCCTCTTTCAAAGGCACTAATCCCTTACATTTTAGTTTTAAATGAAGTGCAGAATGAGAAAAAAGACAGGGAAGGAAGAGAAATATTACCTGTTTTCCTAATTTTCTAACTGTAAACCAGTGTTCTTTATAATTGCATATAAATGATCTTTCATTTCTAGAAAAAAATACATACACAATATTAAGTTGAAATATTGAGTTCATATTCAGTCTACTAGCATTACATAAAATTTGTGATAATTTAAAGATTATGTTTACAGTTAAGTAATCACTGATTTTTTAAAAAATTACACAATTTTATGAGCCCCTCCACAGTAGCCTAGTGATGCTGTGCCAAAATGACAGCCTCACTACCACTCAAGGGTCAGCTCTGATGCCACAGACGCTGCGGTGTCAGGAAAGCTCAGAGGGTAGATGATCATGGACGTTAGAAAGGTGAATCAGGGGCCAGGCATGGTGGCTCACGCCTGTAATCCTAGCACTTTGGGAGGTCAAGGCCAGAGGATTGCTTGAGGCCAGGAGTTTGAGACCTATTTTTATCTCTACAAAAAATAAAAAGTAAAAAAAATTGCCAGGTGTGGTGGTGCACACCTGTAGGTAGTCCTAGCTACCTAGGAGGCTGAGGCAGGAGAATCACTGGAGCCCAGGAGTTTGAGCTTGCAGTGAGCTATGATGATGCCACTGCACTCATGCCCTGGCAACAGAGTTAGCCCCTGTCTCATTAAAAAAAAAAAAAAAAAAAAAGGTAAAATATGGAAGTCTGAGGGAATACAACAGAAATAAGGACTATCAAAACAAAAGCATCCAAAATATATTTCTCTTCTTTAAGAAAGCGTAACTTTAAAAATGAAGTTTAGGAAAAGAAATGTAGGAAATACAAAATAAAATCTTACATAGGATCAATCCTGAGCCTCTGATACTCTGGGCTGTTGAACAGGATTAGTTCTAAACCCCAAACTTTCAAGGCATTGCTTATAACCTGTTAAAAAAAATAGCAACTTTTTATGAGCTAAGCCATTCAATTCTAAATTTAAGTAGTATAGCCATGTTAGTTATGTAAACAATCATACTTCATGTATAAATTTCTCTAGAAGGGTATGGTCTTTAAAAAGTATGCATGTACAGATATATCACTAAATCCATAAATAATATACACATATATATTAAAAGTGCTTCTTATACTAGGTTTCTGAGATGTTCCAGAGCACCACACAATTCCTAGATAAAACTGCCACAAAAATGCAGATGTATATTCTATTCAGTAAGCACTGGTCTTAAAACTAGTCCACTACATATATCTGATAAATTTGGCTTCTGTGAATGCTGCTTTAGAAAAGTTACATTCAACTCACTACCTGCAGTGTCAGCAGTCACATGTCTATTAAAAAAAGTTCTCCCTGGGGATTTAGACAGAAAGTGTCATATATTTTAGAATTCTCTGGTCATAGGTTTGTAATTTGTAGAAAAGAAACAAAAGGCAAACCTGATTATTTCAAACTATCTGAGAAAAAAAGAGAAATTTCTGAAAATTCACTGTCTACCCTCCAAGGTAGCCAACAAAAAGCAGCAAGGGAACCAGGTACAAAATGTGAACGCAGTGCAGTGGGCAAATGTCAACCAGCAACAAGAGCAGCACAGCACAAACAGGACACAGCAAGAGCTGCAACAACTCTGACCTCCAGTCCTAGCCCTGTGGTAGCCATTACCTGTAAACAGTGGCACGATGAAGCACTGGGTGGAAATGCTGGTGGATGAGGAGGGTAGTAAAAGGGAAGTATAGATCCACAAATAAAAGAATGTCACAAGTACATATAACACAACCGTAGAATTCAAAGGGAGCTATAATTTAAAAAAAAAGTCAAAAGCCACAAACCATAATAAAGGAATCCAATCCTGATAAGCTGATTTAAATGGAAGGTAGCAAGATATTGCACTGTCTCAAATTTACTCAAGAGATAGTTAAGTTTGAAATATTGCGACTTATTAGAATTAATGTTATTAGCATCCAGATATAATCTCTCAAAAAGTAATTTTTAAAATCCTTCCTCTAAAATAAAGATTCTACAATCCTAATTTTCATCTATATAAAAATCTAGTACTCTAGAGCAGTGGTCCCCAACCATTTTGGCACCAGAGACCAGTTTCATGGAATACAATTTTTCCACGGACCACGGCTGGGGGAGTGGGCTGTCGTGGGTTGGGGACCCACTCTCTAGGGGTGCGGAGCTTAGGCAGTGATGCAAGGCCCATTTCATAACAGGCCACAGACCAGTACCGGGCCATGGCCCAGGAGTTGGGGACTACAACTCTAGTACAGTTTTATACTTTTGTAGACATATCTATTGGAAGAACCTCTGAAGGTCACATAATTACAGTGACTATATAAACAATGCTTAGTATATGCTGGTTACTACTCACCTGAATAGAGAAAAACCCGCTGTCATCCATATTTCCAGAAGGCTGCTGTTCATTTTGATAGGTAATTGAAGCAGGAGTGGGAGTGGAAAAAGAAGGATGAAAACTGTCATTAGTGTGCATATTTAAAATATCATCTTATGCATTCCCATTTACAAAGAGCAGAGTCATAATTTACCAGTCAGATCCTTATAAAATGAATGGCTCACTCTTTTTAAAATAGTACCCACAATTTTTTAAAAATGTGACTTAGTGAGTTTAAGAGAAGTACCTGTAAAAATGTGCGATAATCTTCACTAGTAACTCCTCCTTCTGCCATTCTCATCCTTTCTTCTTCATCTAGCTGATGTGCAATTGAAGATAATTCCACTGGGCTAAAATATTCTCCTTGCAACAGATTATTCAGGCAGTGTTGAGCACAAAGGGAGCCTTCTTGCTAATATTTCCAAAAGAAAAAATTCAAATGTGATTTATTAAACAGATTTATACAGTAACTTCCCCTAAAAATTTTAATCATTAACTTTTAACATAGTCAAACTGAACCTTTTTAGTTTGACTAAAGCATAATTAACAAGGATTGCTTGAGTCCAAGAGTTTGAGGTTGCTGTGAGCTAGGCTGACAGCACAGCACTCTAGCCCGGGCAACAGAGTTGAGACAAAAAAAGAAAAAATAGGCAAAACGAACTGATGATGTCAGAATTCAGGACAGTGGTTACCTTTGGTAGGAATGGGGTGGAAAGTTAGTACCTGCAAGAAGGCCTAAAGGATGCTTATAGCATGCAGGTAAATCTTCTGTTACTTGATCTCAGTGTTGTTTACAAATGTATTCACTTTGTGAGAATTCATCGAGCTGTACTGTTTTTTTTTTTAAAAAAATAATTTATTTTGTATTTTGCTTTTCATTATTTAAAGAGACTAGGTCTTACTATGTTGCCAGGGCTGGCCCAGAACTCCTAGGTTCAAGCAATCCTTCCGCCTTGGCCTCCTGAGTAGCTGGGACTACAGGTGTGCACCACTGCACCTGCACTGAGCTGTATTCTTATGATTTGTGTGCTCCTCTGTGTGTTATACTTAATAAAAAAAAAATCTAAACAGAAGTAAAAAGCATCTACTAAGATACATGCTGATTACATTACATATCAAGAGCACCCAATATGGTGACCAGACACTGGATTTTCTAGCAACAGTCCTAACATAAATTTTTCTGTCCTGCTGTCAGGCTACATCGCTTCAGTGGGGGTGGGGGCGGGTGGGCGGGTTTGCAAACTGTGGTCACCATACTTAGTATCATATTATAGAAACAGTGACATCCAAATATTTGATAAAAATTTCTCTCCACAAGGCTAGGCACGGTGGCTCACGCCTGTAATCCTAGCACTCTGGGAGGCAGAGGCGGGCGGATTGCTTGAGGTCAGGAGTTCAAAACCAGCCTGAGCAAGAGCAAGACCCCGTCTCTACTATAAATAGAAAGAAATTAATGGCAACAATATATGAGTAGTATTATAATATATATATATACAACACACACACATATAGTATATATATAAATAGGCCAGGCACATGCGTGGCGCATTGGCCTGTAGTCCAGCTACTCGGGGAGGCTTGAGTGCGGTAGGATCACTTGGAGCTCAGGAGTTTGAGGTTGCTGTGAGCTAGGTGATCCACGGCGCACTCACTCTAGCCTTAGCCACAATGAGACTCGTCCTCAAAAAAAAAAAAAAAATTTCTCTCTACAAAAAATAGCTTTAAATTATGTCAAATAAACACTTGAAATCAAATGTTGTCCAAGTAGAAAGCATCAAGTTTTGTCCTTCTAATATGAATTAATGGAAGGAAAGAACAAACTGTTCAGTCCAAATGCAAAAATCACTTAAGTCACAAGATGGATCAAATTATACAGACCAATAAAATTGTACAATGACCCCCACCGTAAGAGTACGCATTTTCCTGCCCCATTCCCACCCCAAATTATCCCCAACCACCTTTTTTTTTTTTTTTGAAACAGAGTCTTATTCTGTTGCTAAGAGCAGAGTGCCCAGTGTAGGGTAGCTCACAGCAACCTGGGCTCAAGTGATCCTCCTGCCTCAGCATCCTGAGTTGCTGGTACTACAGGTGCACACTGGCTAATTTTTTCTGTTTTTGTTTTTTAGTAGAGGCAGCGTCTCAGGCTGGTCTTGAACTCCTGACCTCAAGTGATCATCCCACCTCAGCCTCCCAGAGTGCTAGGATTATAGGCATGAGCCACCTCACCCAGTGTCAGCCATCTCTTTCTCATCGAACTTTACCCAAAATAGAACAGAATTTCACTTTACTATAATCAAAGTTCAGCAATGTCAAAATTCTATGATTTCAGACCCAGACTTGATCGTGTTGGGCTACAGGATGAGCAAACTGCAGTTCTACCAAGATATTTTATAAAACCACAAAAGGGAACTACAACCAAACTATTCCCCCAACTACCACTCAAGTCTTCAGGACCAACCAGAAACTATTATAGTTCAAATTCCCAAAGACACTATTAACTACAATAGAAACCAGGTATAAACATAAGGGTGCTCTCAGAAATGGGCTAACTAGGGACACACAATCCATCCAGCAGCATTTCCTCTTCTCTTAGTGCTCTCCCATCCCTTATTATGAGGTTCAGCAGACACAAGCATCTGAGGAACAGCAATGGCCAGCACTTCCATAGCACTATCTGCCAGGGAGCATTCTAAGCACTGAGAATTCTGAGGTAAGTCATGTTATTATCCTCACACTATAGAGGAGGAAAATGGAATACAGAACTATTACATAGTTAGTAAGGATCATACAAATAGTAAACAGCAAAGCAGGGATTCAGTCCCAGACATAGGTTTCAAAGTATGTGCTTTTACCACTTCCTGAAGTAATTTATTTGTAATTTGGCTTTTCCTAAACCTTGAATATCCTAAAGATGGCTAAGAGCCAGCAATCACAAAAGGGAGTAACAAATGTCACAAAGACAATGGTCAACATCTCTTGAATCTTTTCACTACTTTTAACTATAACCACAACAAGTTTGGTTATCATTCCCAGTTCACATTACATTAAAAGTACTAATATAAATGGCATAGTGACTGCACCAAGAGCAGTCAGCAATACAAATGATAACCAAAATGACAGAAATCAGGCACCAGAACTAAAACAAACAACCACCACCACAAAAAGCCAGCAGTTGGTGTCATTTAATATTAGGGTTTAAGTTAGGGGCAAACTCTAGCCCATGAACCAAATTCAACCTGCCTCAATAGCTAATAACAGGCTTCACATTTTTAGATGGATGGGAAAACATATGCATACAAACAAGAATATGTGATAGAGTATATATGGCCTGCAATGCCTTAAAATATTTACAGAAAAGTTGTTTATTTTAGATAAATAGCTCCATATACATCTCAGATAGTCAAAGAACTCAAATACTTATTGAGTATTTACTTTGTGCCAGGTATTATCTCAGGCATTGAAGATCAGTGAAACACTATTTTCACATTCTAACTTAATAAAGGATACTCAAAGGAAAACTCTAAAATGGGGAAACCAATGATCCAAGAGGAAATGGTTGCAAGGCCCTTTGTAGGCAGATCTCCCTACCTACATAACTTCTTTAGAGGCAAAGTTGGTTCTCTGGCTCTCCAAACCCAGGACCTAGTAAGGGTTAAAGGCATGCTGTGGAGGGTAAAGGAGTATGCTGGAAAATGGCCTATTAAGCACGAACATTCCCAGAATGGACTATAAAGGAGATTATCAACAGTAGTTACAGCTCCCAGTAGTTACAGGAGCATAGTCTTGAACTATGCTCAAAGAACTTTAATTTGTTAAAAGTTCATTTGCTATTTTTTTTTTTTTTTTGAGATACAGTCTCACCCTGTCGCCCTGACTAGAGTGCACTGGTGTCAGCCTAGTTCCCAGCAACCTCAAACTCCTGGACACAAGCAATCCTTCTGCCTCAGCCTCCCGAGTAGCTGGGACTACTCGGGAGGCTGAGGCATGCACCACCATGCCCGGCTACTTTTTTCTATATATATATATATTAGTTGGCCAATTTATTTATAGTAGAGATGGGGTCTTGCTCTTGCTCAGGCTGGTTTTGAACTCCTGACCTTGAGCAATCCACCCGCCTTGGCCTCCCGGAGTGCTAGGATTACAGGCATGAGCCACCTCGCCAGCCCTTATTTTAGGTTTTTTTTTTGAGACAGAGTCTCCCTTTGTTGCCCAGGCTAGAGTGCGTGCCGTACCCTCAGCCTAGCTCACAGCAACCTCAAACTCCTGGGCTCAAGCGGTTCTCCTACCTCAGCCTCCAGAATAGCTGGTACTACAGGCATGTGCCACCATGCCCAACTAATTTTTCTATATATATTTTTAGTGGGCCAATTACTTTTTTTCTATTTATGGAAGAGACCCGGACTCACTCTAGCTCAGGCTGGTTTCGAACTCCTGACCTTAAGCGATCCACCTGCCTTGGCCTCCCAGAGTGCTAGGATTACAGGCGTGAGCCACCAGGCCCGGCCCATTTGCTATGTATGTTCTTATAAGTCGATAGTGTAAGTGTATTCCTTAAGTATCTTTAAGCCTATGCACATGCTGATAACTGAAAGTGACTTCTTTCAGGTAAGTAGATATTCCTTAGGACTAGTGCCCAGCTTCTTTTGATATCATGGTTGAAGAATTACTTTCAAAATCTATCCAAACTGGGTAACAAGCAATACTTTAAAAATACACTGTATATAGCCAGGCGCGGTGGCTCACGCCTGTAATCCTAGCACTCTGGGAGGCTGAGGGGGGCGGATTGCTCGAGGTCAGGAGTTGGAAACCAGCCTGAGCAAGAGCAAGACCCCGTCTCTACTATAAATAGAAAGAAATTAATTGGCCAACTAATATATATAGAAAATTAGCCGGGCATGGTGGCACATGCCTGTAGTCCCAGCTACTCGGGAGGCTGAGGCAGAAGGATTGCTTGAGCCCAGGAGTTTGAGGTTGCTGTGAGCTAGGCTGACTCCACGGCACTCACTCTAGCCTGGTCAACATGCGAGACTCTGTCTCAAAAAAAAAAAAAAAAAACAACACTGTATAATTCTCATAAAATAATGTGGCAAATGTTTAAAGTCTTCCATGCTGAAACATGGTCCTACACCAAAGCCTTTGAAAATTAGTAATAAAAGAAAGGCGTTGCATCTAACAATTTGTTTAGATTCATACCACAGATTTATACCATGCTTCTCGTCTTTGATTGCTTTATGTATGAATTTTTAAATATCTGGGATAAATGATCATTCACAAGTATTTAATAAAACAAAAACCCTTTGCGCCTGCCTACTAAATACCAGCAACCATTTCCAGACATGAAACTATTATGAAACAAGATGTAATGTGCCAAAAGTATCTTGAGGAAGGTTTCACTCACACCCAAACGGCTTGATAACTGTACGTGGGAAAAGACGAGTTTCTCCACATACCACAAACAGCATCTCCAAGTGCGTAGTCATTGAAGAATTAAAGTCACAACAGGCCAGGCAGACTACAACAAAATTATTCCAGTCGACCCCTAATACCCAAGCAAAGCTGGCCTCCTGCTCCGGAAAGATGGGTATTACCCAAACAAAACAAACCCAAACATTCCGTAATAAAAACTCTTGTGACGACTTCCTAGCTTAGGGGCCCGCGGCGTTTCCTACTACACTTCCTGAGTGTCAGGCCCTACCATCGGCGAGCCAAGGTCCCCGTCCTCCAGCGCCTCGCAAATCTAGCGCAGGGGAAGGACAGGAACAAGATCCTAAATATCTAAAAGCACGGGAGACTCCAACATAGAACTGAGGAGCCCAGAGAAGGGAAAATTTAATTCTGCCAGGGTGGGACTGCGGAAGTCGAGTGGAACTGGGAAGGAAGGGTAGAGAGAGGTGTCCCAGAGGTGACTCTAGCTAGACTCTAGGAAGAGCAGGGGGGAAAGACTCCCCCGAAAAGGCTACGGAAAGTGGCGGAGAAAGGCAAAAGTTAACCCACTCGGAGCCACCCCCTCCCGTGTCCCGAGACGCCCCCGACCCTGGCTATACTCCCTCCTGGCTCCCCGGGCAGCAGCCTCGGTGGCTGGGGATGCGGTGAGGGCGTGGGTGAAGTTTCCTTCCCCGGGCCGGGGAGGCAGGCGCCTCGAGCGTCGCTCCTCGCCCGGCTAGGTCGGGATAAGGGCGACTGGGGCTCGACCCGGCCCTCCGCGAGGCCGTGATGCTGCACCCTACGCCCGCCACCGCGCCGCGCACGGCTCCCCCCCGAACGCAGACACTCACTTTCTCGTGAAAGATGGACTCCATGTTTATTTGTCTGGAGCCAACGGCCCCCGCGCCGAACCTCCCCCCAGCTCCGCCCCCCGGCCCCGCTCCTCCGCCCACCCTGCCCCGCCCTGCCCGGGCCCTGCCCTGCCCTGCCCTGCCCAGCCCACGTGCCTCGCGCAGACCAATCACCCCCGAGGATGTGAGTCACGTGCAGGGAAGAGCGAGTGAACGCCGGGGCGGTAAACGCGGGGACACGTGACCTTGGTAGCTCGTTCTCCCGTCTTGTTATCCCGCCGTCTGGAGAGAGCTTCAGCGCCGCCTGCCGCCTGGAGGATCTTCTCTGCTTCGCACTCATTTCTGTGGGTTCTTAGGTTTCTAGGGGTCTGGACCACCCACTCAAGTTCTATGTTCTTTTTGTTTTCCACATTATTTTGTATTTTCTACTTATAATATCTGCGCATATAATTACTTAATATCTTCCTCTTCTGCCATTGAAATCCTCGGTAAGAAAAAGGCGTCATTGCATTTCCCCCCAAACCTAGCACTTGTGTAAAAATAATAGTTAATATTTTTATGTCTTACTATGGGCTAGGTAGTCCTGTAAGTGCTTTGCATATGGTAACGAATTTAATACAGCAACCTTTGATGTAGGTATTGATATTATTCCTGTCATACCCATGAGGCACGGAGAGGTTAAAAACAGCACAATGTTTAACATCAGATAGTTTTCCTTGCCCAGATTCAAATCCAGGCCGCTTGTTACTGTCAACATAAAAAAAGCCAAACTCTGTAAAATAATTTTAAAGAGATTTACTCTGAGCGAAATTTGAGGACCATGACCCAGAGCCATGCCCAAGAAGCCTTGAGCAAGCGGGCTCACTGTGGCTAGGTTACAGTCTGGTTTTATACATTTCAGAGACACAGGGGTTACAGGTAAAGTCATAAGTCATTGCAATGGAGGCATACACTGGAGGAAGGCTTACAGGTTATAGGTGGGTTTAAAAATTCTTTGACTTTAATGCTTAAGTTGGGGCTAAAAAAAAAAAAAATTCTTTGACTTGTAATTGGTTAAAGACATGAAGCTTTGTCTAGGGGCTTGGAATGTTTTAAGATAAGAAGCTCTTAATCAGAGATGAGCCACCAGACACATATTTGTTGTGTAAATAGAGGACCTGCAGGTTTGTCTTGAATACCCTTAGGCCTGCTAATGGGTTACAAAGGTTGTCCCCTAGAAGAGAAGCGGGTATGATGAGGCATGTCTGACTTCCCTCTTCCTGCAGGCAATTTAGTTTTAGGATTTTCCTTTGGCCACCAGGGGGTCCATTCTGTCAGCCAGTGGGGGGGAGGAGATGAGCCTTAAAATTTTATTTTAGTTCACATTACTAGTGTAGGTGTTCTGTCCCTAAAGAGCAAGTATCAGATGGGGGAAGTGAATGTCCCGTAAAGTGGGAGGGAGAGGAGGTAGTAGGGATCAGATGAAACTTAAAGAGAAGGATAGGTACAGCTCTTATTGTAAGGCTGGTGGCGGGCCCCCTCTCTTCCCTAGATCAAAAAAAAAAAAGGCTCATGAGACCAGATCTGCCAAGGACAAAAGTGCCAGGCCCCCGCTGAGAGGAACCACACCCAGAAGTCCACCTGGATAAGAACTTTTCAGCCCTTGGATTCCACAAATACCTCCAGCCCCTCCTAAAATCCCTGGCTCTTCCCGCCAAAACTCCCTAGCCCTGCCGAAAGGGTATAAAAGGCCTCAGGCCCTTCAAACGGCGACTTCTGGGGGCCCCCCTCTCTTGGGGCCCCAGAACCTGGTCCACGAGTGTATAATAAAGCCACGTGGTTTGGCACCCACTCTTTCTCTCTGTCTTTTCTTTTCGCCACCACCGAAAAACCTTACACTTATACCTTGAAACAAGATGAAGATGTACTTTTTAAAGGCAGTAGGGAGCTATATAAAGATTTTAAAAGAAGAGACATGGTCAGATTTGCATTTTAGAAAGATCACTCTGGCTGTGGAAGAGACCATTTTGAGAGAGAATTAGTAAGTAGAGAAACTCAACAGAACTGGCGAGGGATTTGGGAATGAGGAAGACAGAAGTGGTAGGGATGACTCCTGGGTTTCTGACCTAGGCAGCCACTGTGACAGGAGCTGTATTGATTGAGATCAGAAACACTAGAGGAGGAACAAGGTCTTGGGAAGAGAAGACAACACAGAATTTACATTTTGGAGATACTGAATTTGAAATGCCTGTGAGACATTTAGGTAATTATGGTGAGTAATGGTTGGATATCAGGTCTGGGGTTCAGGAGGCTGGTTTTATTTTGGAAGTTCTGGGGAGGCAGGGTCTCAAGGAGCAATCAGTGTCATTGTTGCTAAGAAGTCAGCAACATAAGCATTTATAAGAGTACGCCCAATGGTGTTGTTACGGAGACCAGTTCAGAGAAGCAGAAGGGGCAATGAGAGGCAGGAGAATGGAGACTACCAGTGAGGCCAAGGTGGATTCCGTTGCCATTTATTAACATCGCTGTGTACACAGTTCACAGTTCTGTATTGGGGAAAGTCCATGATCTTAAGGGAAATAAATCATAGTCTCTCATGAAGTGAAAAATTGGAAACCACTTTTTCTTTTCTTTTCTTTTCTTTTTCTTTCTTTCTTTTTCTTTCTTCTTCTCTTTCTTTCTTTTCTTTCTTTCTTTTTTCTTTCTTTTCTCTTCTTCTTTTTTCTTTCTTTCTTCTTTCTTTTTCTTTCTTTTTCTTTCTCTTTCTTTCTTCTTTCTTTCTTTCTTTTCTTCTTTCGTCGTCTTTCTTTCGACAGAGTCTCGTTCTGTCACCCTGGCTAGAGTACAGTGGTATCATCATAGCTCACTGCAACCTCAAACTCCTGGGCTGAAGCAATCCTCCTGCCTCAGCCTCCTATGTAGCAGGAATTACAGGCACATGCCACCATGCCTGGCTAACTTTTTTATTTTTAGTAGAGACAGGGGTCTTGCTATTGCTCAGGCTGGTCTCGAACTCCTGACCTCAAGTGATTCTCCCATGTATGGTTGGCCTCCCAGAGTTCTGGGATTATAGGCATGAGCCACTGTGCCCAGCTAAACCACTTTTTGTCTTTTTTTTTTTTCAGTTGTAGTTGATGTCTTTCAAATGAATTACTGAAGCCAGGTGCCTTAGTCCATTAGGGGTGCTATAACAAAATATCTTGTACTGGGTAATGTATAAAGGGAAATTTGTTTCTCACAGTTCTGGAGGCTTGGAAGTCCAAGATCAAGGCTCCAGCAGATTTAGTGGCTGGTGAGGGCCTGTTCCTTGTAGATGGCACCTTCTTTGTGTCCTCACATGACATGGGGCAATGAGGGGAGCAAATGATTTGCCTCAGGCCTCTGAAAGGGACTAATCCCATTCACTTCTCAAAGGCCCTACCTCTTTTTTTTTTGAGACAGTCCTCACTCTGTCCTGGGCTAAGTCCCATGGAGTCAGCCTAGCTCACAGCAACCTCAAACTCCGGGGCTCAAGCAATCCTTCTGCCTGAGCCTCCCAAGTAGCTGGACTACAGGCGTGGCCACCATGCCCGGCTAAGTTTTTCTACAATATTTTTAGTTGGCCAATTAATTTCTTTTTTTTTTAGTAGAGATGGGTCTCTCCTTGCCAGGCTGGTTTCGAACTCTTGACCTTGAGTGATCCTCCTGCATTGGCCTCCCAGAGTGCTAGGATTACAGGTGTGAGCCACCGCACCAGGCGGGCGCTACCTCTTAATACCAACACATTGGGATTATATTGATTATATTTCAACGTATGAATTTTGCAGGGAGACAAACATTCGAACCATAGTAACAAGTATCCGCGGACATATTTTTTTTTTTTTTTTTTTTTTGAGACAGAGTCTCACTTTGTTGCCCAGGCTAGAGTGATGCCGTGCGTCAGCCTGGCTCACAGCAACCTCAATCTCCGGGGCTCAGCGATCCTACTGCCTCAGCCTCCTGAGTAGCTGGGCTACAAGCATGCGCCACCATGCCCAGCTATTTTTTTTGTATATATATTTTAGTTGTCCAATTACTTTATTTCTATTTTTGTAGAGACGGGGTCTCGCTCAGGCGGTTTCGAACTCCTGACCTTGAGCAATCCGCCCCCCTCGGCCTTCCCAAGTGCTAGGATTACAGGCATGAGCCACCGCGCCCGGCCTTGGGAATCATTTTTTATTCCTTTCCCACAATTCCACCCCCTCACCCCTAAGTCCAACCAGTCCTCAAATGCTGTGTATCCACTCCTAACTCTCTCCTCTTTCTTCTTTGCTACTACTTAGTTCACACCTTCTTGGTGTCTTGTGTAGTCTAGTCCAGGGGTCTCTGAATTGGTCTTTTGATTCCACTCTCAGCATGTCCAATTCAAGTGCTGTCAGTGATCTTTCAGAAATGCAAATCTCCCCAGCTTTTCTTTCATCTAACGAATAGAGTGTTACTCTGTATCAGGCACTGGGACTATGACCATCAAAAAGACAAATAGTCTCACCTTCATGACACTTATATTGGGAGAGATTC